CCATCCTAGCAGGTATAAGGTATCTAATTGTGGTTTTGATTTTCTTTTTCTTAATGCCTATGATGTTGAGCATCTCTTTATGTGCTATTGGCCTTTCATATATCTTCTTTTGAGAAATGTCTCTTCAAATCCTTTGCCCATTTTAAAATTGGGTTATTTGTCTTTTTGTTGTTGGGATGTCAAGAGGTTTTACTATATCCTGGATACAAGCCCCTTATCAGATATATGATTTGCAAATATTTTCTCTCATTCTGTGGATTTTTTTTTTCACTTTTTTGATGGTGTCCTTTGAAGTATAAGTTTTCAGTTTTGATGAAGTCCCAATTTATCTACTTTTTCTTTTATTCTTTATACTTTTGCTCATGTCTAAGAAACCGTTGCCTCATCCAAGGTCACAAATTCCTATATTTTATTCTAAGAGTTTTATGTCTTTCATTTGTGTCTATGATCTGCTTAATGTATTATTATAATTAAAGATTTTTAAATTGATTTTTAGAGAGAGAGGAAGGGGGAGAGAGAGAGAGAGAAACATCGGTGTGAGGCTGGAACATTGATCAGCTGCCTCCTGCACACCCCCCACCAGGGATTGAACCTGCAACCTAGGCATGTGCAGGAATTGAACTGGCAGCCTTTTGGTGCATGGGAGGATACCCAACCAACTGAGCCACACTTGCCAGGGCTGCTTAATGTATTATTGCCATACAATGAAACAGTTTTCTTTCTTAGAAGTGGAATTACTAAGTCAAAGATTGCATGTTTTTGAGACCTGATACATGTTCCAAAATTGTTGTGATTCTCCCTGTCATTTCCCTCTCCCTTCCTATCTATCTCCCACTGCTCTGGTTCAGGCCTTTGCCATCTCTTGCCTTGTATGTGACAATAGTCTCCTGCCCATTCCTAATGGACACTTTCAGGGCAGTGTGATTAGTGTAGTGGCATGGTGATGGTGGGTGCTGTGACAGTGAAGAGGAGGGCCATCTAACGCCGTCTGGTGATTTGGGGTGGGGGGTGAGAAGGATTGGGGAGGAAGCGAACAGTGAGCTGACTCAGAAGGTGGAGTGGGCATTAGCAAAGCATAAACATGGAGCATCCGCATCAGCCGGGGAGTAATGAGCCTGTGCGATGCCCAGGAGGTGGAGGCAGTGTGGCACCATGGTCCAGAGATGGACGCTGGCTCTGCCGCTTCCTGGCTGCATATTCTTGGGGAAAGGGACTTACCCTCTCTGTTTTGGTTTTCTCACCTGTAAAATGGAGACAATAGCTAACAGTAGTAGCTAGCTCCAAGGATGGTTGCAGGACCAAGTGAGGCAGCAAATGTTGAGGTTCTGGCTGGTGTGACCAATCCCCTGAGAAGGAGCAGGTGGAGGAGACCAGTGTTGGGCCTGTTGATGAACAGAGGCAGCTGTGTGTACAGGTTTGGAGCTGAGGTGATAGAGATTTGGTTAAGACTGGTGCTTTGGGTTTTATTACCCAGGGGGCCGGCTGAAAAAGTGGTTATAAGCTGGTCTCTAGACCACTGGGGTTTGGATTCCAGCTTCACTGCTTAGTTGCATAATCTTGAGCAGGTTATTTACTATCTCTGTGGCTTAGCTTTTCATCTCTAAAATGAGAATAATAACAGTTCCTTGTTCATAGGGTTGTTGTGAAGACAAAGTGAGTTGATAGGTAAAGTGCTTAGAATAGTGCCTGACACAAAATGCTCTTTTTTGCTGTTATTGTTTTTCTTGGTAATGGGAAAGGGGGGGATGGTAGGAGCTGGAAGGAGAGGTAGGCTTCAGAGAGTTTTATGCAGTTTAGGAATATGGTGGGTCATGTTAAGTCTTGGAGTATATGCGGGAGACCAAGCCAGTGCCTGTCTTCAGTGCCTGCAGGGAGTGGCCAGAGGCCGAGGGAGTCAGCAGGAGGAGGGAGAGGAGGGTGTGGCAGGTACAGTGAGCTGAAAGGAACGGTGGCTTCTATTAGGGCAGGAATCATGATCCCGATGTGGCCATGAATAACAATAGCCATAGCAGTTGCTTTTATGACTCGGAAAGGGCAGTGAGTAACAATAATTCCAGCTTTCTCCTTGGACCCATCCTTCACATCACAGCTGCGGGTTCATTCATTCAGCACGTGAGTGCCTGAATGTGCCAGCTGCAGTGCTGGGCACGGGGGATGTGGCGATGAATTACATGCCCAGTTCCTGCCTTCACGGAGCCTGCTAGCTAAGGGGAGAGACAGATATTAAACAAATAATTGTGCAAGTCATTAATCAATTTGGATTGGATCATGCCACTCCCCCAGTTCCAGAACCTTCACTTGTTCTCTCCACTGCTGTGGAGTAAAGTCTGGACTCCGAAGCATGGCTTGGAGGCCCTGCAGGATAGGGCCCCAGTTCCTCTCTTGGCAGCTCTTCTGAACATGGGTGCTCCCTCACCTGGGCATCTAGCTTCCCAGGACCGCTTGCTGTGCCCCAGATCCACCATACCATCTCCATAGCCCCCTGTCCATGACCTCTCTGTATTGGCATGGTCCTGCGAGTCCTTCAGGGCCTGAGTAGCAAACATGTCTTCCCTTGGGAGGCCTTTCCTGGTCTCCGTCACTCTCTCAGTCATGCTCCCAGAGTACCTTGGACTTCTGGATTATAGCACTTCATGTGTAGAATCAAAAGGGGCAGTGTGACTGCAGTGGGAGGAGGTCATTACAAAGGCTCTGAGTTAGGAGTGGGCATGGAAGTATGGTGCCTGGAGGAGACTGTGTTGGAGACTGGGAGGAGCCCATGGGTGCAGAGCACCTGTGGCTCAGTGGGCAGCCTCAAATGCCTGGCAGGAGTAGAGGTACCAGTTCTCCCTTTAGGAACATGATGGAAAACTTGGGCTGTGGGAGTAGGCTGTGTATTCAGGGTGTTCATATGCTGAGTTTTTTCATGGAGATGCTTATCTAGGGAAGAGTCATTTCTACCTGAGTGGGTGAAGCCCAGGGTGCCAGTAAAACCTTCAGTGGAGCAAAACAGAGTTAGAATCCCAGTGGTGGGAGAAGGGGCAGGTCCTAGGCCCAGCAGAAGCTGAACCTTCCCCTACTGGGAATGTGCCATCACTGCTCGTTGGGGTGGCCTTAACTTTGGACAGCCACCAGGGTATGTGACTTCCCTTGGCTGCCTTCTCTGTATTTGAGATAAATTCCAAAGCCCTTTGCTGGTGTCTTAAGTGGTGGCCCATGGAGGGGACCTATATAGGCTGGGGGAGGGGAGCCTATGCTCAGACAGCTGCACAGAGGTAAAGGAGCCTCCCTGGGGCAGGTCTTAGGAATCCAGCTGCTGGATCTCAGAGATGCAAAGGCAGATCCAAAGTGTAGCTGTCCATTACCACCCATGAGGCTGCTGCAGCCTGAGCTTCCTGGGTAGTCATCGCCAGCAAGGTTGGGCTGGGCCCCATTGAGGCCCAGATATGGCCTCTCTGCCAGACAGGCCAGTGCAGGTGAAGAGCTGCTCTGGTAGGGGACAGGGGGACACCAGGCAGAGAAAAGTTTGGAGTGGCCTGAATTAGAGCTGTGGACTCTAACTGAGCCTCGGAGGGCTGGCAGGCATCAGCAAGGGACCAAGGCGCTGGCACTTCCTGCTGCAGGCTGAGTTGCAACCCAGCCTGGGATCCCCGTGGGTGCAGGCAGTTAATCTCTGAAGGCTGGAGTGCCACTGCTGGAGAGCAGGAACATTGAACTTTTCAATCACATTAATTTCCACAGGAAATTGTTGTCTTCCTTTTGTCCAAAGGTTAGTGATTTATATTTACCATCCTCTTAACTAGCCTTGAAATTTACTGTTGCCAGGTCACCACTGGCTTCTATAAATCTCAGGGTGGCAGCTGAGCATAGCCAAGTGGCTTGATCCCTGGAAGGGCACAGCCCGTCCCTTTCGGGAGGGCAGATAACTAGCAGTCCCTGTACAGAAGTCCTCCTGAGGGGGTGGTACTCACTTGGCAGGGGAAATGAGATGGGCTCTGACCAACAAGGTTGCAGGGAGGCCTCTTCAGTAGCAGACAGAGCAGACAGCTGGCTTGTGTCTCAGACACTCTTTTAGTTGTGTACAGGGCTGGTGGCACAGAAGGTCTTAAGAGGCTTAGTTAGGATGGAGAGCAGGGGCCTTTGTGACCTTAGGCAAGTAACTTAACCACTCTTTGCCTCAGTTTCCTCATTTATAATAGTATTCCTCATAGTGTTGTTATGAGGGTTAAACCTTAATAAATATCAGCTAATATTATTCCCTGGCAGGACAGGTGGATAGTTTGGTATGGGCCGTGGCGTTGGTCTGCTCCACCCTCTGCTCACACTGTCCTATCCATTTTACTTTTTAAGACCCTCTTCTTCCATCTGTTTGTGGAATTAGAAGAGGGCTGGTAAACTTTTCCTATAAAGGGCCAGTAAGTAGTTTATGCTTTGTGAACCATATGGTCTCTGTTGTAAGTACTCAACTCTGCTGTGTTAGCATGAAAACAGCTGTACACAAGAAGTAAATGAATGTGGCCGTGTTCCAATAAAACTTTACTTGTGGATATTCAGGTTTACATTTCATACAATTTTCATGTGTCACAAAATACTATTCTTCTTTTGATTTTTAAAAACCATTTTTATTTTTAGCTCACAGGTCATACAGAAACAGACAATGGTTGGCTTTGGCCTATGGTTTGTACTTTGCCGACCCCTGGATTGGAAGATGAAATTGCATGGAGAAAGTATTTGCTTTTCTCATGCTGGGTTGTATCTTTGAGTCACTAAAGAAAGGTGCCCTCATGTTGGTTTTCCAGTGACCCTGTAGTGCCTGCCTCCTGAGAGGCCTAAAAGCCACCTGAAGCGTTGGACAGAGGAAGGAGCCCCATGGGAACCTGAGGCACAGGGCTGGCCGAATGCCTGGGCCTCCTACCTGTAGGTTCCCTGGCTGCAGCCACAGTGGTGCTGACTCTGGATTGGCCAGTCACCGCCACCCTGCACCCCAACTCCAGTGTGACAGTCTAACCTGTCTGTTTCAGAGAACAGCCCGAGCCAAGGTGGGAAGGAGGCGGGGACTCGACAGCCCTTGGTGATTCTCTTGGGCTGGGGTGGCTGCACCGACAAGAACCTTGCCAAATACAGCGCCATCTACCACAAAAGGGTGAGTACTGCAGGTTGTGGACACCCAGCTCACTATGGCCCTGCCACCTGTGTCTGCTCTGAGGGGGAGCCCTGAGCCATGGCTGCCCTCATCTCTGGACTGTAGCGAAGGCAGGCCTGGGAATGGCACCAAAAACCACCTGTGAGGAAGATGCTGGGGTCATGAGTCTTTGGCAGGATTATCCCCCCTTTGCTGCTAGTCCTGTGGCCTGGTCCCCTTCAGCCCCTTACCTGCTTCTCCTTCCTTCCTCCCCACACCTCACACTGGGCAGCCCAGCCCTGATGTGCTCCCAGCTTTGGAGTTGGCCCAGACCTCACGTTTCTGTTGGCTGGCTACTGCCTGTCTTGGCAGCAGGAATCTGGGCTGGTGTGCTGGGCATAGTCTGTACTCCCAGGACTTTTTCCTTTTCTGACCAGGTGAGGTTCTCTCTCAGGGTTGATCATGAGTAGGGTTTCCCAGAGTAGAGGGGCCTCCTGGAGAAGAGATTCAGGCTTGAGGTTTCCTTGCTTCTCAGGCCACAACAAGAGTTGGATGTAGTGGTTGTGGTAATTAGAGCCTCAGGAGGGCCTGATTATATTTTGAAAGCCCCTTTCACATCTTTTTCCTCTGGCCTGGCCCTGCTCTGCCCTCTTCAGTCCAGACATCCCAAAGCAGAGAGACACCAGCACAGACAGCCCGGCTGCCAACTGGGAGCTCTGGACTGAGGAGGAGTAGGAGTCCCCTGGGAGAAAGGCCAGCTGGTGTCCCCCTCCTCTCAGCATCCCTCCACTGACCTACAACTGCATTGTGTCTGAGGTGTGTGGTGGCCTGGAATGGGAGGAGGGTTGGGAGAAAAGGTAGTTCTGAGCTTGAGGCTCCCTGTAACCGACAAAGCTGGTCCTCTGGCATCATGTTTTACAGATTGCCTTACTCTGCAGGTAGTTTCAGCTCCTTCTGAATTCCACTCCCTGGGCAAGACTTGTTTGTCTGGCTCCACCATTAGACTAAGATCCATGAGGGCAGGTGGGGGAATAGGAATAGGTGAGTGTGGCTAGAACAGAGAATGAAATAAAGGGCTCCTGTCAAGAGATGAGGCTGAGAAGGGTCCTTAGGGGATTTAAGTATGGGTATGTGGTTAGATTTGTGCTTCCAAAAGTCCCTCATTGCAGAGCAGGGGAAGGATTGGAGGGTTCGGGACTGGAAGCCAGGAAGTGAGTGTGTTGCAGTGGTGAGGATCTTGGTGCTGGTGGTGCTGGTGGAGGGAAGTTGATGAGTCGAGCTTGTTAGGAGGTGGAATGGTAGATTAGTGAGAGATTGGGTGTGGGCACAGGGGTAGGGAGGGGTTCAGGGCAATGCCAGGGTTCTGGCTGCAGCAGTTCCTGTGTAGATGGGGATGCTTTTTGAGACAAGGAACACTGAGGAGAAACCATAGGTCCCAGGTGCATGAGCTTCCCCCAGGGAGTGTGTAGAGGGCAAGGAGAAGAGGGCCTAAGACAGCTCTGAGGAGCCCAGGCTTAAAGGAGAGGAAGTTGAAGAGGGTTCTGCGAGGAAAGGGGGGGTGGCCAAAGAGGGATAAGAATGTCTAGGGAAGTGTGGCAATCCACAGAGAGTCTTTGGGAAACGGCCACTGTAGAGGGTTAGAGGAAAGATGTTACTGAGGCAGAGGCATGGGGAGAAAGGGAAGGAACAGAGCACAGGGACGGCAGAGGGCTTGAGGTGTCAGGGCTAGCGGGGGGTGGGGCAGGGGGCATGGGAAAGGAAGGGGGTGCCTTTATCCTATGGCTGGAGGACAGGATGGGTGTAGAGAAAAATTTTTCTCAACCCCAAACTCCTAATACTTTATTATTTCAAAGAAAATAAAACCTCCATATTCTGCCACCTAGCGATTACCTCTCTTTACATGTTTGTATATATATCTTTTCAGCTTTTTTCTGTGTGCCTATCTTTTCTTTACCTAAATGAGATCTATTGAATATACTATTTCACATCTTTTTTCAGATCATGATCTCCACCTTCTCATGTTAATAAATTTTTATCTCATCTAGTTTCCAGTCCATAGTCAGATTCTCTAATAGCCTCCAAAGTGTCCTTTATAGCTGATTTGCCCAAACCAGGATCTAATTGAGGATCACCCATTGCATCTAATTCCTTGACCTTCTTTTAAATCTAGAACAGTCCCTGTTTTCGTGGTAACAACTTATTGAAGAGCCTGGGCTATCAGAGAGTATATCTAGGAGTGTGTGATCCAAATGCTGCTGGGAGGGAAGTACGATGGGGACTGAAAGCCGTCGGGGATTTGACGATTTGGGAGAATGTGATAACCTTCGTAAGAGCAGTGTGGTTGTCATACTGGAGCCAGTGGGAGGGGGTGAGGTGGAGAGGAGGGTGGGTGTCAAAGTTTGTTTAGGAAGGTGAAGAGAAGGTGGGGAACATGTGTAAAGTCGAAGCTTTTTTTTTTAAATGAGATTGGTCTGAGCAGGAATCTAGAGATGAAGAGACTGAAAATACAGGAGAGGCGAGGAGTGACAGAGCAGGGCCTTGTCCTGGGACTGAGTGTTTGCAGAGATGGAGAGATGGTTGGCTTCAGCAGAGAGAGGAGACTGGGATCTGACATGCAGCGAGACCCAGGTCCTTGGTGCAGGGACTTCTAGGAGCATCTGACTGGGGAGGTGGCAACAGAGACACCAGGCACCTTGGTACCCTCCAGGTGAGGCCCAGACCTATGGACACAGGGAAGCTCGGTGTGTGTGGGCCCTTCACAGGGTGTGTTGGGCATTCCCAGGGCGAGCTCTGTGTGCGCTCACAGGGGATGTGGAGTTAGAGAGAACACTATGTGTGCCCTCCAAGATGGCATGTTCACAGGAATTGCTGAGGTTATGTCTGAACCAACAGGTAGTTCTGCATGTGAATGCTCCTAGGGAGGAGTGTGTGTGTGTGTGTGTGTGTGTGTGTATGAACACATGCATGCGCTCACCTAAGGTAGTACACCATGAAAGTGTGTGCTCACCAGTGGTATATGTGTTTGTGGGTGTGTGTTGGCAACTGTGCTTTTTTGTGCACTCATAGGTGGTGCAGTGGGTGTACCCTAGTGAGTGGTGGGTTCCTTGGGTGTCTGCATCTGAGAGATGTGAGGTGGATGGGCTTTGTTTAGTCTGGGAGTCACATGTGTGGTAGTGAGGTGGGAGTGTGTTTGCATTTGTGGGCAATGCTGTGTGGAGGTTGGGGGTGGGTGGGAAGACATTTTACATGCTACTGGGGAGTGAGAACAGAGAACTTTGTGAAATTTTCAGAGTTAAGAGACCAGGTGGCATCAGGGGGTCTCTGCATGCCAGGATCTTGGTAAGAGCAATGCCAGGAGCAGTTGGGGCAGATGTTAGATTGGAGGGATGGAGTCAGGGGTTAGCTCACCTCACCATCTCTGTTTGGCTATGGGTCATTCAAGTAATGGTCCTTTGTTATTGCTCCTGCCATCACTAATTACCGCTACTATTAGTTGAGAATTTACTTTGTACCAGGTGCTGTTTTGGGCTCTTCAGATACATTTTTTTTCATTTAATTTTCACCATAATCCTATGAGATGGATGGAGATACAGACTCAGAAAAGTGAATCAAATTGCTCTTTGTCCACACTGTTAATAAGTGGTGCCAGGAGTTGAACCTAGCCCTGCCTAACCCTAGAGCCTGCCTAACTCTGAGTCCCTTAACAAAGGGCCCTTTGTCTCTAGAACAGGTTAATGAGAGGGGATTAGGACTCAGGCCTGGTCACTTTGGCCACCTTTTCTAACCTTCTTGCCTAGAAGGAGATGTCTAGAGATTTTGAGGTGTACTTGATCCAGGTATACTGAGGGGTATAGAAACATAGAATTTGATTCAGATTTTAGAATTTGAGGAACAACAGCGTTTACTATACATAGAATTTCAGGGCAAGTGGCAGGAGTGATCCTAGGCCTTGGTACCAGACAGATTTGGGTGACAGGTGCCTGATGCCAGGAAGTATGGACTGCTCTCAGGGCCCTGTGGGAGGGTAGCAGTGGTCAGAGACTGACCTGATGCGGTTCTGGCTCACGAGTGGCCTCTGGTGGTCAAGGCTGGGGCCTGCAGGCTTTGTCTCTGGTGTTGGGTCTTATCCGGTACCTCCTTGTGCCTGGGAGGTAGAGACAATGCAGAGGGGAGTCACTGCAGCAGGGTGTAGCCAAGCAGCAAGGCCTTAAATGTGCCAGAGCTGAGCAGATGAGGGTGCAAGGTCCCAGGTAGGAGGGAGACAGCAAATGGACTAGAGTGAGGAGACTTCCTTCTAGTCAGCCAGATGTCTCCAAAGCATGCTCTGGGCTCCAGGCCTGGCATACCGTCCCGGGCTGAGGGGGGTTGGCCAGTGTGAAGTGATTAATCTTCCACCTTCCATTCTAGAAGGAACTGTGTCTGTGAGTGATGAGCTGGTGCCCAGGCTGCAGCAGGGCCTGGAGCACTGTTGGGCTTCGGGTCTGTGGAAGTTGGAGCTGCTGGACCCCTCTCACCTTAGCTTGTACCCACCCCCACCCCATCCCTGAGGACCGACCAGGCCTCTCTCCTCTCCACAGGGCTGCATCGTGATCCGATACACAGCCCCGTGGCACATGGTCTTCTTCTCCGAGTCCCTGGGCATCCCTTCACTTCGTGTTTTGGCTCAGAAGCTACTTGAGCTCCTCTTTGATTACGAGATTGAGAAGGAGCCCCTGCTCTTCCATGTCTTCAGCAACGCCGGTGTCATGCTGTACCGATACGTGCTGGAGCTCCTGCAAACCCATCGGCGCTTCTGCCGCCTGCGTGTGGTGGGCACTATCTTTGACAGCGGTCCTGGTGATAGCAACCTGGTGGGGGCCCTGCGGGCCCTGGCAGCCATCCTGGAGCATCGGCCTGCCGTGCTGCGCCTGCTGCTCCTGGTGGCCTTCACACTGGTGGCAGTCCTGTTTCATGTCCTGCTCGCTCCACTCACTGCCCTCTTCCATACCCACTTCTATGACAGGCTACTCGATGCAGCCTCTCGCTGGCCCGAGCTCTACCTCTACTCAAGGGCTGATGAGGTGGTCCTGGCCAGGGATGTGGAACGCATGGTGGAGGCACGCCTGGCGCACCGGGTCCTGGTGCGCTCTGTGGACTTTGTGTCATCTGCACACGTCAGCCACCTCCGTGACTACCCTACTCACTACACGAGCCTCTGTGTTAACTTCATGCGCAGCTGTGTCCACTGCTGAGGTCCTTGTCGCACCCACCTCACCTCTGCTCCAGAAATAAATGCCTGACATCTCTTCGCAGCCTATATTCATGGATGGGGTCCTTCAGCCCTTTGGGACTTGGTGATATCCCAAGTAGAATTCCTTTAGGCCCCTGTCCTGGGAGACTGATGGTCTACTTATCCCAGGATCCTAGCGGGGGCAGTGCCTGGGCATGTCTCTGCAGGAGCCTTATAGTGGTTGTATTTGGACAAGTGTAGCAGTGAGGCTGCTGATTCCTGTAGCATTTAGGCTGTTAGGGTTAACCAGGTGGGAGTGGGGGGTTGATAATGAGCCCCAGGGTTGATCTCTGATTCCTTGAATGGAAAGTGAGCTTTGTGAGGAGGTGCCAGACAGTAGGATCAGGCTGAAGCAGGGGCTGTGATCTCTGCCCCAAGGCCCTGGAAGGGCAAAGCCCCAAGGCATCAAGCACCATACCTATGGATCCCACTTGGCAGTTCAGGCAGAGGCCTCTTTGACCTTTCTGCCAGGGAGTCTGGGGTAGAAGCAGTTAAGAGAGCTGAGAATGCAGAGGTGGCAGACCTGCCCAGGTCCACCACACTTTGCCAGAAAGCCACTGGATCTAGGAAGGTTACAAAGTGTGCATGTAATGGGCAGATAGAGGGGAGCAGAACGAAGACAGCAGTACCATATGGGAGCTGGGACAGGTAAAGTCAGGAGCCCTAAAGACCAGCACCAGGGTGCAAGGGGCCACGTGGCTGAAACAAACTCCCTCATCTCTGAGAGTTCCACTTGGATTCTGTCTAGGCAGGAGTGGTGGCTTTAACCTTAGAGTTCTGTATCACCTATCGTTGTACAATTCACTACTACACAATGCTGGCACATAGTAGGTATTCAATAAATAATTGTTGATTGAGCTTACTGTGGTGATCAATGGACTTGGGGGGTAGTGATGAGCTTTGAAAGTTTGTCAGGTAGTGAAGGAGATGGCTGGGATAGCTCTGGGTGGGAGCTGAGTCCTGATAGTCTCTGGGCTGATGGACTCCCTGCCACCTTTACTTGCATGGTGGTAGTCCTCTGGGACTTCTGGGGATTGTTGGCAGCTAAGTCCTATGCTGTGTGGCTGCATTCCTAGCCATGGCCAACAGGTGGCAGTGCTGCCTGTGTCATGAGATGGAGCTCAAGAATCCCACAGTAGGGTGAGCTTGAGGACCTCACTCTGGGGTAACATCCCCTATTAGAGAACATATGGCCCCCAGGGTGGGAGTAACCAGCTATCAAGGACCTACTGAGTCCAAGGCAGGGAGAGGGGAGAGTTGAGACCTGAAAGGAGCCAGCCTGATGGAAACTGGGCATTGCCTACTTGTTTTCCAAACCCTTAGCCATCACTGGCTATTCCACCTGGACAGACCACATACATTCCCCTAGAATCCTGGGCCTCAGGATCCTTGTGTTTAGCACATTTGGAGCCATCAAGTTGGGCATGGGGCTTTGAAGGGCCTCCAGTGGGCTCCAACCAGGGTGATTTGGGTGCTGGAGGCAGGAGCTACCAACTGGACCCGATTCTGTAGAATGCACTGTGGGCATCCCAGAGATTGGTGTATCTAAGGCAGGGGATTTGGGAAGATGGAGGGTAGACCTGGCATGTGAGGATTTGTAAGTAAAAGGAATCTGGAGTTATGGAGATACTCTGGGGTCTTGAATTTTAGAATCTTTTCACAAAACAAGCTCTGTGGTGGGGAAGTACTCATCTGCAGCCTTGAACACTGGCCTGACCAAGCACCAAGTGAGATCTTGATCACTCACAGGCAGTGGGCAGCTGTGGGGATGACTTAACAAAGCACCATCTCCAGTGCTAGCTGCCCAGCCTCAGCTGCCGGACTTGAGGGTCCATCTTGGATAATAGGGGTTTCTACTGTTTCCATTTGAGGACCCAGGCAGTAGCTATACTGGGCTAGGTTGGAGAATAGAAAAAAGCCGCGGGGGTGCTGTGATGGTGGTTCCATTTTTGGTTCCTGGCCTGCTTGAAGGGACTACAAAGGGACAGAGGCTTGGGGCTTGTTTTCACCCAAGCTTACAGCTGCTCCTGCCCTAGATTGGGGGCTAGAGCTTGCATCCCCTCTGTACCCCCAAGCTCTGACCTCTCCTGTGATTAATGAGCTGACGATTCCACATCAATAAGGAATTAACCTGGAGCCCCCACCCATCAATAGTCAGAAGTCTAGGTCCCTAGCCCCACCCCCACACGATGTAGTGCTCCAGGGTCCCTGAGCAGACCAACCCTACACTGCTTTATGCGCCCATAGCCAAGTCCTTTTCCCCCACATTTGCTGCCAGGAATTAACCCCTTAACTGCCTCTGTCCACACCCATCATCATCTGTCCCTCCCTACACACATACACACAGGCAGCAGCTGTTTATATTGGTTTAATCCATGTCAAATGTAGTTTACAAAGGGAAAGGACAAGTACCTTTGTATAGAATATACAGACACAGCATCACACCATGGGGCCCACGGGAGGGGCAGGGAGACAACACTTTTCCCTGGGAACAGCAGCTCTAATCCCAGCAGTGGTTCTTGGCAGAAGGCTGAGCAGCCAGGAGCACCCTCATCCATCCCCAATCTCAGCCCCTGCTGTAGCTCAGTTCCCATTTCTGTGCCCCCCCCGCCCCCAACTCCTTATAAAGAGCCCCAGGAGCTAAGACTAAGGAGAGGATCATGTCCCTTGGGGCATGTGCCCCATGTCGGGGAGAAGAAATATACACCACTGAACACCGAGCACATGGGAGAGGGAAGGGACACCATGGGAGAGGGAGAGGCAGGCACCCCAAGAGGTGGATGGGCCGAGCCCCCAGCCAGCTCTGAGGAGGCACTGCTTCCAGGTGTTCTTAAAAAAAGAAGAAAATCATACAACCGAAGGGGAGAGGAGGGGTGAGGGTGAGAAGTTATCCCATTTATACACAACATTGTAAACATACACATCTATATTACATGTGCTTCAGTCTGGTGTTTGCATGTCTGTCAGTCTGTTTGGGGGCTGGATCTCAGGAGCTTTGCCCTGCTACCCACCCCACCTACACCTCCCTGCCCCACCCTGGGAACAGAACCTGGAACAGGTATGGTCCCCAATCCTGGTGGGAGCCTGGCAAGGCCTGGGCCTAAGCATCCACTCTGGCTCCAGAGGCCTGTGTGTGTGTATGTGCGTGTGTGTGTGTGCATGTATGTACATAGGGAACCTGTGTGCAAGTATGTACAAGGGGTAGGGTCACATCACAGAGGCAGTCAGGCAGGCTGCCTGAAGCAAGGCCTGCCTAGGGTGGCTAGCTCACAAGTAGATTCTCCGCAGGTCTCCGGGTGCTGTGATGGTGTTGCACTGAGGGCAGAGCTTCTTGGCACCCTGCAGGGAGAACAGGGAGGGCTCTGGTTATGCACACAGTGCTGCATGCTTGCTCATGTGAGCACCTGGGCCTGTACCAGTCACATGCTGGGACCTTGGTCCTGTCAGCCTAGGCTGGGGATGCATGGGCAGCCTCTGTGAGCAGGCAAGCACGCTCCTGTGTTGGGGGGATGCCAGGATCAAACCGCCTGGCCAGCCCCGCAGCAGGAGCCCCAGTAATGAGAACAAGGCTGGGTCCAGCTGTGGCTGCCGAGGCCCTAACGAGATTACACGCGGCCTTTGATCAGGACACAGAGCCCACGTCCGGGCCTTTTATTGCTGTCTCCGGGCGACATTTTAATGGCTGCTCCCGAGCGAAGAACAGGGGCAGGAGCAGAGGGAGCTTAGTAATGGGAGGGGGAGGGGCTGAGGCCCTGGTCCTGCTTACCCACACCCAGTCTCCTTCTGACCCAGGATCTGAATAATATGTGTGACACAGTGGGCCTTCTGGGGGGTGGGGGCAGAGGGAAGGGAACAGGCAATGAACCCATAGAGGGGGAAGGTGAGAATGTGGTGAGCTTGGGGGGAGGTGGGGATCCTGGCTTCTGGCTGTGTTCTATGTTCCTGCTCCCCTTTGTCCCTCCTCATCCCTCTCCCAAAGCAGGCTCAAGCATAAGCAAGGACATCTGGGCAGTACCCAAAACAGCCACCCTTCCCCAACCCCCATGCCACCTCACCAGGGTCCGCAGCCAGCACTCCTCACAGTGCACATGCCAACACTGGATGGACGTTAGGGGCATCGAGTATGAGTCCTAGGGAGGAGGTGGGCAGAGAAGGGGTCACACTGAGGCTAGCCCATCCTCTAAAGAGGTCAGATCACAGTGCAGAGACCCTCTCCAACCCCTAGGGGGCACTGAAGCCTGACCAAGGGCACCCGTAGGTTCCCTTCCTCTCACCATGCAGATGAGGCATTTGTAGCGGTCCCCACGGGATAGCTGCCGTTCAAGTTCCCTGACCCGAGCCTTCAGGGCCTCAAATGTGGTCACAGCTGAATCTTCAGTTATTCTGTAAAGAGGACAGCATAGTTGGGCAGGCAGCAGGCTGGCATCCCTAATCTGAACCTCCAGCCCACACCTGCCTTGAATTCCAGAACCACAAATACAAATATCTTCCAGGTGCCTCTGCCCCCTCCCTACCTGCCCATATCCTGTATCTGCAAACTCCACATGCAGACCTGAACTCCTCACCCTCCTAGTTCCTCTACCTCCATCCTGGTGGATTTCTAAACTAGATACCTGGGAACCATTCTCAAACCATTCCTTCCTGAAACCATCCGTTACCCCTGACATCCACTTGATCTTAGTCAAAAGGCTGAGAAGCGATCCCTCTGACATCCAAAATCGGTCATCTAGTTCCTGATAACTCTAGAATCTCTTCACTTCTTCCCACCTCTGCCATCACTCATCCAGGTTCTCACGATCTCTTCTATGGATTACTCGCTAATCTGAGTGGCATGGCTTCTTTGCCCCCAGCCCTCTCATTCCACTCTATTCTCCCAGCACCTAGAATTTTACAAATTTGACCATTTCTACTTCCAACAGTTCAATGTCGCCCTCAGAGTAAAGCTCTACCAAACTCCTCACAAGCTTACAAGGGCCTCCTTGGTCCATCTCCAGCCAGCCACATTTCTCAATACCCTGCCACATACTTTAAGCTCTATCCACACCAAAATACTAAGTTTCACCCCCTACACTACTGTTTTTATTCCCTTGGCCTCTGCGCACTTTCTGCTTCCTCTGGATAATAGCCATCTTTTAATTTACTAGTTCCATCCCATGGTTTAGGCCTAGTTCCCACCTCTTCCCAGAAGCCTTTTCCAACTCTCCAGCCAGCACCACCATTGGTTGCTGCCTCCACCCCCTGTACTGGGCTCCACCATAGCAATATAACTACAAATGTCTTTGTCTCTGCTAGACTCAGTTCCCTGAGGGCAGGCTACTCATTCCAACAATACTGACTATGGAGATTAGCTCCACACTAGGCACGTGAGTATGAACAAACATCTGCTGAATAAAGAGCCAGTCCAAACCCCAGAGAGAGTGAGAGATAAGGGGACTGGACGAGTCCCACATAAGCTAGGTCCCGGGGGTACAGGCCTGGCCTGCCTCAAGGGCTCCTTGTTGTGTCTTCTGAGGCACATCGAATGCCCTAGTAATCCTTACCTGTTGTCCAAGCCCTGCACAAGAAGGTCCCTACAACCTCTTGAAGACTCTTTGGGTTGCAATACTGAACAGGGAATAGCTAGGGCTATCTCGAGGAGTGATCCCCCTCCTCCTAAAATAAGTGAACAGAACCTAGAGGAGCTCACAGAGGGAGAAGAATGCTTCCTAGAGGAATAGAAAAGATGGTACTGGAGAGGGGCCTCGGGGAATAATAATGATAATACAAATAGAAGCTAAAATTTATTAAGCACTTACTAAATGCCAGGGATTGTACTGAGGGATTGAAAATGATCTTATTTACACCATACAAAACCCCATGAGGAGATTATAATATTCCCATTTTATACAGGAAGAAACCAAAGCAGAACAGAAACATTAAGTAGTCTGCCCAAGGTTCACAGAGTGGGGGAGATGGGATTTAAACCCTGGCAGACTGCTTCTGCGATCAACCAGTAACTGTGTGACTGACTACTATTCTACACTGACTAGACCCAGTGGGAGACAGGTCTCTAGGCCAAGGGAACACAGTTGAACAAAGGCCAACAGGCCCAAGAGCCCCATCTGGCCGGAAGGCTTACCTGTAGGTAAGCAGAAGGTGCTAAAGTGGGAAAGGAGACTGTATCCGGGAAGACCTCAGATGCCACAATCGGAAGAAAGTGAAGTTTGTCTTACAAGCAATGGGAAGTTGTGGAGGATGTTGGAAGAGGGCTGTGACAGGTAAAAACTGAGCTTTAAAAGATATGTTCCATGGGGAGGCAAAGAGTGGTCTGAGGTGGAATCACAAGAGTGGTATGTTATGGGCAAGGACAATTTCCTAAGGATGGCGTGTTCTGCAGGTGTGGGGTAGACAATTGGCTCAGAAAGCTTGAAAGCTTACAGGTGGTCTGTCCTTGCTGAGCATGTCCAATGGTAATGTGGGGTGCAGCCAAGATGGTGGGTAACATTCCACAGACAGCAACAAAGTCTGATCTCTGACCTTTCTCTGTTAGGGTAGTACTAGCAACAATGTGACTTCCTGATGTCTGTATCCCTCTATCAGGGATGCTCTAGATCCATCATTCCATGGTCTATGAGTCTCTCTGCTCTGCCTCTCTCCAGGGAAGCTGAGAAAGGCTCTGGCTTATTCACTGACAACATCCATTCAACTTTCCAGCTCTGGAAGCCTTCGCCACTTCTCTCCACACAAGCACCTGCACAGCTGGCTCCTCCCAATGCCATATGTACCATCCTCATCTGGACTGTTATTAATTCCTGATAAGGAGACAAGGATGGGTAGCTATGCTCCCTGCCTCTCTAAGGACCAGACTGGGAATTTGCCTGGTCCTCTGTGGTTATTTAAGAGATGGGGAAACTTAAGGCATGGAGCTAGGGGCAGCTTACCGCAGAGTAGAAAACTCTCAACCCCCAAACCAGAGAATGAGCTAGAACTGGAAAGGCAAAAAGGATGGGGCCAGGAGAGAACAAAACCATTTCCCACTCCATCTCCAAAAGCTGCAAGGCCACATCTAACTCCAGAGTCCACCCTATCCTGGATTTGCTCAGTATATACCAGGCCTCTAGTCTTTGCCTCCAGCCCGCCCCATGTTGGCTGTGAGCTATTTCTGAGCCCCTCCAGGGCATAGGGTGGAGAATATCCTAGAAGCCATGGCATCCTGCCTTCCTCCTTCCCTGGGTTATGAAGCAGATCTAGGGTGGGAAACCATTTGTATACAAGGAAGAGAAAAGTCATGGGGACTAAAGGGTCACAACCTAGGCAGACCCAGATCCAATGACTGAGCCAGTCCCCAACCCATTCCAGAGCCCTGCCTACTGGTGCCTGTGCTCACACAGGTGGGACAGAAATGCTGACTTCCCCCAGTTTTGGGTGGGTAGTACCTTCATGGATGGCCACTGGCTCTGGCCCCCACCTCCCCCTTGGGCGCCATCCCTGATTAATGATCTTGTCTTTCTGATTTATGAGCAGCCCCTTCAGACGAGGGTGGGCGCCCCTTATGGCCCCGCCCGCCCCGCTCAGCTGGAGTAGGAGAGAATTATTAAATAAACATCCATACGTCATTCCTCCCCCCTCCCCGAGCTGGTTGCACCGAACCCGTGCGGCCTGCTCCGGTGCTGACACAGAGCAGCTGCAGTGATTCATGGGCAGCCGGGCCCTGCGCCGCGGCCCATACATCATGCCAGCAGCACTCGCGGCCCCGGCCGAGATAAACTGATCAACCACAACGGGCTGGAATGAATTTATGACAACACAAAATGGAGGGAAACAAATGGGAGGTGACCCTGGGCCACCGACCCGGCCCTGCACCGTCCTGCAATCCACTCTCCCGGCAGGAGGCAAGATGGAACACTGGTCCTAGAATGAAGAGGCTGCCTTTTAACCCTAGGCAACCTAGCCCCAGTGGAAGAAGGGGATGGGTGTGGGGAGTTAAGCAGTGGCCAAAGGCAGCAGCTCCAGACACCCTGAACTGCAGAGTGCCCTCTCCTGGCCTTGCTTGGGTTTCTGAAAAGGCAGTAAGGTGCCCAGCTGATTTCAAGTCCTTTTGGCTCCTGGGGATCCAGGCCAGGACTGCCCAGCCCTGGGTTAAGTGCTAAGGGATCCCCTTTTTCCCTGCCAGAGAACCCAGGCCAAAAATTCCAACCAGAAGTGATGAGACCCAATGCTCCTGCCTAAAACCCACTGCGAGCGCCACCCGGGACAAGAAAAATGAAACCAATTTAGCTCCCGATTAAGAAACAGAAACTGGAGATGAATCAAGTGTGCCGGCTGGGCTGGGTGGCCATACATCACATTCTCCGGGTGGAGGCCGCTGTAGCGGGCGCACAGGCAGGCAGCAGGCAGCAGGCAGACTGCTCCTCCCTTCACCAAGGCTCCCAGGGCCGTGGCCCAATGATGAATTCAGAGTCATGCTTAGCACCAGCTGGGCCCGTCAGCTGTGCCCAGGGCTGCAGGACTAAGGGAGGGCGAAGAGTCCTGGTGGCCCCTCTCTTCCCACTGAACTGCTATCCCGGGGGCCCACTTCCTGGCCACTCACTTCTCAATGTCACTATTCTTGCAGGTCTTCTGCATGGCCTCTTGCTTGCTGCTCTCCCCGTTGCTGGTAGATGGCATCTCTGTTGGGATAGAGAGACAACTCATATTTTGGCCAGACTGGGCAGCACAGGTGAGGGCTTGGGCCTGAGTCCCACCACTACCCAAAGGATGTCTGCTTTCCCCTTACTACTCCTAACCTGAGTTAAGACTTACCATCACTGGCCCATTTAGAGAACTCAGGTGTGATGCGTGTGCTGGGAGGGCCGCCACTAGAGGGAAGGAAGGAGAAAGAAAAAAGTGACTCCCAGGACCACTCTTCTGATAGCCCAGGGTCAGAGGCCACAAAACTGCTCCTCCCTCCCTCCCCCTGCCTGAAGGTAGGCAAAGACAGCCCTGAGGGTGGGTATCAGGTTGACCCCTGCCTCAAGGCTTCCCATCCCTCTCCTCTATCCCACCCCCAAGCCTGTGCCCACACTTGCTTTAGGACTGCACCCCGGAGTGCCTCTCTCTCCTTGGCTTCACCAGGCTCCTCGCCTGTGCAGGGGATGACATCAGCTTCTGTGTATCTGGCATGGTGGTCAAGGATAACGGATCCTGGTTTGCAGTAGGCCTTGAGGGTTGAATCCTGGCCAAAACTGAGACACTGACCCTGGGGGTGGGGTGGGTGAGTACCAGAGTCATTAGCTACTTTTCTTTCCCCTTCGTCTATCCCACAAGCCCCACCTTGTCCCATAGTGCCTCAAGGATACTGTGGCTTCCCATACTCCAGAGTGTCATCCCCATCCACATCCAAGTCAGCATCACTGTCCGGATTCTCTTTGCCGCTGCACATGACGAAGCCAGAGCCTGTGGGAAGCAGGATGTGAGGATTGGGGGACCAACAAGACTAAGCCAAGGGTACCTCTTCTGTTGCCTCTAGGTAGGGGTTAACTTTTGGGCCAGATAAGGCCCAGACAGAAACTTGAGCCTGGAATATAGTCAGATACTTAGGTGCTCTTGACTCTGATATTTTAATCACTTTCACTCTGCATAACTCATCCTTCTCAGCCACTGCTTGCTGCTCCAAGTGGTTTCATAAACTCGCTTATTCAAATACTGTGTCAGGTCTTCAGGAGATGCCTGGCCTCCTGTCCACTTGCCTTCCAGGTCTAGGAAGAGCAGGAAGGGAACAGAAATCCAGGTCTTAAAAGGTTACCCCATTCAGAACCTTGGCATTTCCTGTGTCCCATGGTCCATACAAACAAGTCCATCAGAAGGGAGAGTAGACTGGCTAATGCCAGTCAGAGCCACACAGCGGGACCCCCAATCGATGTCCTGATTTTGGCTGCCAGGTCCTTGCCAGCAAAAACACCAGGCAGCTGTTCAAATATTTGGTGTCTGAAGCGACTGACATTAATTATTCATGTCCACCTCACTCAGCTCAGATTCCTGGACAAGTGCAGTTATAAAGGGATTAGGAGGGGACAGATGAGAGGATAGGCATGCACACCTGCTTCTCAAAGCAGTCCATGAAGGCAACCAGGCTGGGAAGAGGCAGGGACAGGCAGGCGGCTGACTACATCAAGGTGCAACAGGCCCAGCCACAGGCAGACTCTTGGCCAATGGGGAGGGAGAGCTGCTGAAGCTACACTAGGCCCACACGCTTATCATATGTTCTGACTCCCAGGACCACTCTTCCTGATAGCCCAGGGTCAGAGGTCAGCTGCTCCTCCCTCCACACCCCTGCCTTCTCCCAGTGGTCTCAGACTACTCATTAGCCACAAAGCAGCCCTTCTAGGACAGAAAGAGATGAAAGTGATGGAATCTATTATGAATGGAATCAGGAAGGAAATCCATAAAGAGGTGAGGAAGAAGCTCAGAATTCTGCCTGACGATCTCAAAAATTTCTTCTTGTCCTTTCCACTCTCAGGTTCTTATGCTCTCATCGTGGCAAGTCTTGTAATGGGTCCTCAAGCCTCTTGTCTGTTCCTTCATCTTGCTTACCATATAGTTCTGACCCTTCTTTTCCTTGCTCCAAAACCAACTATGGCTCCCCAGTGTACACAATCCAGTCTGGCTCCTCAGCCACATCATTAGGGTCTTTTTTCCTCACTTCACTCCACACCTCACTTACTGCACCTTAAATATAACCCTGTATGTCCTGCTCTTAAGACTTTAGTCATGCTATTCACTCCATCTGGAATGTTCTCCATCTTTCAGACCTATTTCAAAAGCATTTTCTTCCCAAACTGTCAAGTCCTTCTTCCTCCTTCTGTCTCCAGTCTCTGGCCTGACAAAGATTCCACCCATCCCAAAGGTAAGCAGGATCAGGGAAGGAGAAAGGCAAGGCACTGCCTAGGCTCCACCCCTCCCTGACAGTCCTCATTTGACCTCCATACTCGAGGCACCAACAACAAACTCAAGGCAGCAGGCAGGTCAGCAGTAGGGCCATTAAGCTGAGAAAACACCGAGTTACAGCTCTGTCTCCTATTCACGGCCAGGTGTCCTGACAAGCAATTCCTGCCTTGTAGGTGAGTGGCACCTCTATAAACCCTCTGACAGTTTGGGAGACAAACTCCGCCATCAATCAGAATGTAGCTATCAGGTTCACTTACGGTGTGTACCCCCCGAGCCCTGCCAACCCCCCTTCCTCCAAGTACACACAGCTCAGCAGTCAGCCTCACATTCTCAGTTCAGCCCGGCCCTACCCAGCCCTGCCTATGGGTGGACAAAAAGGAAATCAAAGAACTCATGGCAAAGCTGAGAAAATAGGGCAGCCCAAAGCCCCAGCTTCTCAACATTAAAGCAGCCTGTGGCCTGAAGTCCTTTCCTCTTGTTTTATTGCCTGTCAGGCCTGGAGCAGGACTTGTATGTTCCAATGGAACATAGTTATTGTAGTTTCCCAATCTTACATGTTTTCTTTTGCCCCCATGCCTTCATATGTCGTGTTATTTCTGCCTAGAACCTTGTCCCTCTTGGTCTACAAAACAAATGCCTGCTCATCCTGCCAAGTCTGGCTGGCTTGACCATGCCTTCTACTATTAACTCACAATGCCTACACACAGTAGTTGCTCTATAAATACTTCCTGAATGAACTCCCACCTCAACATTCTTTCAACCTTTACTGAACTCATTCTCTGCCTGGCTTCGCACTGAGGACACAGAGTTTCAAGATCTGATCCCTACCCTCAAGGTGCTGAGTATGGATGAGACTTCCCTACATATTTCTATAGGTGCTCCTTCCTGTGCAACTCCAAAGTCACATTTGTTACCATGTATTGTCATTGTCCCTCACCAGATTGAAATCCCAAGTATAACTCACTACTATGATTTCAGCATCATCCAGCAGAGCTGACAGGCCCACAACAGGTACCATACAACACACCTGAGCAGTAATGGCTAAGTGCTGCTCTAATAGGTCCTGGGAGCCCTGCGTTAGAAGGAAGGCCAAGGCCTGATCAGCTTGTGGCCTGGAGAAACCTTGCAGGACACAATCTTCCCTATCACCCCCAGCCAAACTTCTCCTCTGCCCAGTCAGGCAGGATAGAGGGCACGGCACATCTTGTTTTCCAAGGAAAAGGGCTGTCTCTGGTCTGAGCAGTTTACTCTGACCCTGACACCATCCCTCAGTGGAGACAGATGTTGGGAACCTCTCCCTACCCCCACAGATGTTCAGAACAGGCTGCCGCCACCAATTTCACTCCTGTGCTGCCCCAGCCTGCTCGAACCTCCTTCCCAGCACATTAAACTTTATTTTCTTAATGAAATGTCACTTGCTGACTTCTGGCAGAATCATAATAAAAAGAAACGGCCATAAAGCCGTTTTATGCAGACAGCGCCCTGCCAGCCTGCCCACCCCCCAGCTTTGAGAGGAAGGCTCCACAGTCATTTTACATTCTCAGCTGCTGGAACATCCCAAGCTAGTACTCAGAGGCAAGATGGCACAGAGAACTCCTTTCCAAGCCTCTGGCTCCTGTTCCATGTAGCTTCGGGGGATAATAGGCAAGCTGCCACTCCTGCTGCTTCTGCTATCCAGGGAAGGGATGTCTCCAGGACGTCCAGGATGACCCAGAGTACCCTTTAGTCACAAAGGAGGTCTCGTTAAGGTTTGGTCCCACCTTAAAGTGGACACAGGGGTGGGCTGCTTCTAAGAGGCAAACTAAGCCTGGTGATCAATGATGCTCAGCACAGTGGGTCTTGGTCCTGGGAGGGCGGGCAATGTGAAAAATACCCTCCCACCAAGTGAACTCTTAGCAAGAGAGAAGGAGAGGGTTAAGTGCAGAATGATAGGCAAGTCTAAATTTTATAAAAATGACCCCTCTCCCATAAACTCATTTCTTCCCGGGTCATTGAGAAGGGGAAAAGAAAAAAAAAAAAAAAAATCAGTGTTAATTTAATCAATTGATCAAATAATCTATTGAGAAACTGGAGATGCCCGTTTACTGGGGGCTGTAATGTCTTGGAACCTGAAACCCACAAAAATGGAGCCACTGATTTCCTCACCTACTGCTCCCAACAAAACTGGAGCCTGGGAGAAAGGAAAGTCTTGGGTCCCTCCAGAGGTCTGTGCTCTCCAAAGTGTGTGTGTGTGTGTGTGTGT